AGGAAATTGTTAATATTCTTTCTCTTCTGTGTGCATATAGCTTCACCTAGCAAGAAAAAAAAAGCTGCAAGTCTTTCAAGGTATCCTTAGGATGAATTAAACTTTGGTGGTGGCCTTTGAAAAACTGTTTGCAACTGATTCATGGTCTCCTCGCCACCCCTCTTTGATTCTGGAGGGATTAGAGAGTAGTTGGGAGGCCTTCCTTGCTTCTTCTCTCCTTTGAATTGTAGCAAGAGAAGTTTAAATGTAATTCCTCGTGGGTTTGAGATGAATGCAAATGTTTTGTGTAAAGTCTCAGTTCCTCTGCACTGTTGTGCCCAGCAGGTACTTCCTGTGGTGCAGTTGCGATGACAGAGAGTTACAAACCTTACGTCTGAAAACAGCTTGTTAGTCCCAGCTCACTTTTAGCTTGATGTGTTTCTTGCCCTGTGAATCCTCGGTGTGCAAATCCTGATCATCTGTCTTGATCGGTCTTCTCTTGCCTTTAAGGAGCTTTCACTTAACTGCTGAATCTTTGGGAAATCCAGTTAATGTCATAGTGGAAAAAATGTTGAAGCGATTCTGATCTGAGACAAATACTGCTACATGGACTTGGAATTTTTAAAATAAATAGTATCTGCAGGAGATGTTGCCTGAGGGTTTCATTGAAAAAAATAGAATACTTTTTTTTTTTTTTTTCTCTCACTGAAATATGAGGCTGTCAAATGTGTTGTGAGAAGGCTTTTGGTACACTTTTTCTTTTGAAAAAAGATTAATTCCCCATGGTCTTATCTGAAACTTGTAGAAGGACACTTGCTTTCTAAAGCTCTTCTTACAGAGTCTGTATGCACAGTGTGGCTCAGGACTGCAATAAAATACTATGTAGAAGTAGTTGTTTCTCCAGTACCTGTTCTCTGGTAGGTTAGCAAGCCAGAGGTGAAAAGTTACCAACTTTGATAGGATTTTGCCTTACTGTACTTTCTTGCTGTCTTCAAATCATTTTGATGCTGCTCTTTTGTTTTGAAATGAAGAATGTATGACTGGGGAACACAGGGTACCTGGTTATTACAGCAGGCTTTTTCTTTTAATGAGCATTTAAAAAATGAGGTGAAAGGGAGAGGATTTACATTAAATACTTGAGCTTGTATTCACATTTACTTTCCAAATAGACTCATTTTTTCCCTTGAGCAGACAAGGTTTTTCGTTTACTTTTGATGTATTTTTTTCTTGCAAGGTAACTACTGGTAATTGATTAGTTTACATGCAGAACATTATTTTTTAGCTCTTTAAGTAGAGTTTTGAGATTGAAACGAGGTGGGAAGGAGCACCAACATATGCCTTGTCACCTGCTTGATGCTTAGTTTTGTCTAAAGGAATGACCGCAGTCCAGTCACTTTATTTCTCTGCTTCTGCTTATTCGTCTGTAACTTGAGGATAATTAATAATTCCTTCTTGTATTTGTAGTATGTCATTGTACATGGAATAGCTATTGTAATTTCCAAAATAATAGAAACAGTAGCGTTTTTAACTTCACTAGTGGCTCAATCACTGTAAATACATTCCTTCTGGAATTAAGTTTAAAACAGGATGATTCTTTCATAACTCCTGTTGGCCCTTAATGATAGCTTTTTGGCACAGAAGTTCAAGGAACTTCCATCTTATACTTCAGAACTGGAGAGGAAGAAATCTACTTTTGTGAAATGGTATGCTGTTTCTTAACTGTGTAATCTTGTTGTTGGCTTTTAAATCTAGTATTAAACAATACGGTAACAACCCCCTTCCTTGTAGGAAAAAAAAAATGTACTTTAGATGGCTCTAGAATTCCTTGAGGATTTACAATACAGCAGGACCTAAGAAAAGTAATGGCTAGAAGTAATGCAATTTCTGGGTGCTCTCTTGGGTAAAAGAGAATGGTGTGTATTTTTGCTAACAAAAGCATTTTCCGTACAGCATAAAATTGCCAATTTCTAAGCAAATCTGCATGTTAAGGCTCTAGAAAAATATTTCAGAGCAACCTTTCCTAATTCTGATGGGATTACGGAAATAACTACTTGTCTGCAACTTGGTTTCAAAACAACTGATAATATTCTGACAAGTATTACTGGTGGCTGACAGTTATAATCCAAAAAGGTCTGTTCTAGGTCTGTCTCACATTTGAGGTAGAGCTTAGGTTGCCATAAACTTCATTTTTGTGGGTGGCAGCATGTTACCCCCAAAATATTGCTTTAATAGCACTGGGACCATGATGAGCTCTAAAAATCTATAATTTATTTAATTAAAAGGTACTAAAGTAGTGTTTATAGTGATCTGTAACTTTTCCATGAACTGTTATACCAGCAAATAAAGCAAAATAACAAAGTGTTTTATTGTTTAAACTGTTGATGTTCTGCTTCCCCTAAAAAAAGGCAGGGTGGGTGGGCATAGTGTTCTTTAACAATATCAGGAGGGACAAGTTGTTTCTTAGTAGCTCTTAAGAGATCCTAATAATCTGGGCCTTCTCAAATTGATCTTTCAAAACTAAGTTTTGTGAGGCAGGTGGGAGGGTGACAAACTTTGTGAGTAATTTCAGTGCATTCAGCAGCTAATAAGTAACTGCTGATCTCCGTAGGAAAACTGTTCTCAAATCCCAAAGTATGATCTCTTCTCTGTCTGCTTACAAAGGAAGATAGGAAGGTAGTGCCTCCACCCCCTTCCCTCAGCAGTACATTAATTTGTGTGACTTGTTTGATCTTTGCAGTGGAAACAAAAATGCAGATGATAGTAAAACCAGTATCTTGATGAAGTGTGGTGTCATCACTCAAAAAAGTAGACTGCATCTGTATTTGAGATTTTCTAGTGATTTTCTTCTGTTGGTCAAAGCAGGCAGCTGAAACTGGCAAAAACTAGTATAATGTGTGCCTTACCTCTTTGTTCATGTTGAATGTAAGCAATGCCATTTTGTTCTTTTTTCATTGGGTGTTTAAAAAGACCAACCAAAATTGAAGACGGAGCCTAGTAAGAAGCTTATTACTTTTAGTATGCTTTTCAAGATAGTGGAAAATAAATGGTTTAGAAATCCCCTCAAAATACATTTTTTCCCCAGCTGTGTGTATGCATAGTACATAGGATTAAATTGCCATTATTACTTTTAGCAAAATATGACAATTAACTTCTAAATAATTTCATTTAAATATTAATCGCTTTACTAACTCTCAGAAATAAAGATGAGGTGTGGGCTGAATGCCATAGAGGTTATATGACACTGCAAATAGTAGCAAAAATCTAATATTGTTTTGAACTGTGATCAGATTTGTTGATGGTAGTAACTGTGCTGTAAATGGAAAAACAATTGAATGTTTTCATTGCTTAAGTTTTGAGGTGGAGAACTTTTCCATGTGTCTCTGTAGCACATGAAATGGCAGTTAAATAAATGTAGTAAAAATATGTGAGATACTAGTAAATAGTGTTTCATGTGTCCTGTAGTTCTGTGGCTCTGAAATTCATACCTGCCTACAGCACCATTCACTGGGGGTATGAGTAGCACAAAACAAGACCTGTGTGATGTGAATATGCAGGTGATTAAAAATTGTTCTGAAGATTGCGTTTTGTCTCTTAGCTCTCAGAATTAAGTCACTGAGATCAGAAGATAAAAAGCTTAATTTTAGCATTGGCTGGGAACACTGCCTTTCACACCAGGTGGAGGTTTCTGCTGCTTTCCCTGTCATAGCAGACGCTCTCTTACAGCTTTTGAGGAAAGAAGAGCCCAAAATACTTTTGGTGGTGGTGCCAGTGTCTTCAGATCTCCCTGCCAATCTTATTCTTCAGTATGATCAGCATTGTCTTACCCAGTTTTATAGGACATTGAACATGTGTTCAGGGTTCTGTTTATATCGAAGTATTATCAGTACAATAGTTCTGTATTTAAAAGGCTAAATACTAAATTGTTAGAATGTTTGAAACCATTTAAAAACCTAGGTATTTTGCTCCAGTATTTGTCCAACTTGATGCAAAGCTTATGGATCTTGCTTTTAAGTTGTTGTTCACCTATAGAGGAAAAGTAGGGGGTGCAATAGTTTGGGAAACACTTTGGGAAACTAGTGTATGGTTATTGAATACAGGAGCTCCAAAACAGGTAAATTATGATTTTTGGTAGATACTAATTACAGATTACAATTCATACTTCCTTAAAAAATGTAAAGCTTGACTACTTGATACTCCTCCCACCAAGCCCAGTTGGTAGAATATCAGCTCATACTGTGGAGGCAGTGAACTGGCACCAGAGCTCCCCTATGCTTCGAGCGTTGTAATGTTGCATTTTCTTCAAAGCTGATCTGAAGCATTAGCATATGACTTGTAAGCCAGCAGAAATAAGGATTTATGTAACTCACTTAATTGTCAGCTACAGGTTAATTGGCATCTACTGTTCAAGATTAATTTAAGTCATGTATCCATTTGTGATGAAACTGGAGTTTCTGCCATGTTAATTATCAAGTGCAGACTAGTCCTTGCATGTTAAGAGCAAATCTAATTTACAGCATGTATAAATAAAAAAAAAAAGGTTGACCTGAAACTTAGTTAAAAAAAAATCTTAAATAAATGCCACACAGCTACAGTAAAACTGCAGTAATTTTCATATCTCTTGCATGATCTTTTTGAGGAATAGAAAATATGCAAGTCAGAAATAAACTGTACTAGAGAAAAGAAAACTGACTATCTAGCACACCAAGTCATGTCCAGCATAAACTTAGAGGTTGTTCTTTCACTTCTTTTTAGTTACCCCTTCTAAAAATTAAAATTCTATGTCATGGTGCACCACTAATCCTCTTCTCATCACTGATGGGGAATATTAGAAGAGCTTTACCTACTTTGATATAATAGAAATTAGATGTTGATCAGGGTGTGGGAAGCTTTTGTTTTTCCTCTCTGAGGTTTGTGTTGCCTCAGTTGAGACAGGTTTGCGCTCCCGTTTGTAACCCACCTGCAGTACATAAGTTCTCAGACAGAGTTGTTTGTGGTTGCATTCTACTTGGGCATTAAATGCAATGTTAAATCTTAAAAGGAACAGGTATTTGATGTTTTTGTCTATGACCCTTAACACACATGTTCCACAGATTAGAAGGTGCATGAAAGCACTGCTAGAAGTTTTCTTTATGGTGCTGGCCTGCTGAAAACACTCCTGTGGTGACTGAAAGCTGGCATTTGCTTTTACAGGTGGATTCAGCAGTTTGTATAGTCCTCTTCCCCTTTATATTTCAGTCCCATTTTTTGTAGTTCCATATGTGCCTGTATTCCAGGACAGTAGGATGTTTCCCAAAACAGGCTACGTGTTCCGTGTAACAATGTGTTCTTATTACCTGTGTTTGACTTATCCAGAATGATTCCTTACAGTGTTTTAATTTTGTGTACAGATTCCTTTTTATTTTGTTGTTTCATAGGAACCTCCAGAAGTTAAGTCTCTTTGGGGATATAAGCATTCTGCAGCAACATGGAAGTATATCAAATACATACCTCGGCAAGGTTGACCCTGATGGCAAGAAGATTAAGCAGTAAGTTATGTTTGTAAATTATCAAATACATAAAAATAGTAAAAACAGATAACAGAACACAGATTTTCATGCCTGAAATAGATAATTGAGAAAGCTTTAATTTTTTTAATAGGATGAGAATCTAAATTCTTAAATTTAGTTGATTTGTTCCTGCTATTTACATTAACTAGTCTGGTTTTGTTGCTTTTTTTTCCCCTTCTCAGCAGAGTGAGAATCCTTTCTTTCCTCTTTTCATTGTATTGTAGGAACAATACAATACATTAACAATAGTATGTTAATGGCACAGAAGGGGAGGAGGGATAGTGGGTTGTTACCAGCACCTCTACTATTGGTGTACATGAAAAAATTAGAAAAGGAAGTGATCTGTTGTATTTCAGAAGAATTGAGGACATGTAGCAAGTAAACTTGAAAGAGAACATAAACACCAACAATTATTTCAAGTTGTGTCTCAAAACTAGGTTATGTATTTGCAGAATTCCTCGAAGATCATAGTTCACAATGTGCTTGTGTAGTTCAGAGGTGTATTTTAGCTTGCCATAATTACATTGCAGTGCAGTCCTTGAATGCTTATAATTAGAATAGCTAGTTCTTCTTTGGAAAAGGTTAAATACGATGTAAAAAGTTACTGACTTCTGGACTAAATTACCACAGAGGGAGTGATGCTGAAGTTAACTCTTTTAGCAGTTCTGGTAAAATTTTCTATATAGATAAAATCTGAATACCATAGTTTTAGTTTGCGTCACTTTAAACATCTTTCGGTAGCTGGGGAGTGGCATAAGTACAGCCACTCTAGATTTTTGCTATTATTTTTTAAAGTGGTTTTGGAACTAGTGTAGGTATATTATCAGATCATTGTATTCATATGAACACAGTCAAAATGTTTGGTCCTGACTTAAATTTGTAAAGCAGTGCAAATACAAATACATGTTACATACTGTGTCTTTGTCATCCATTATGCTTAGAATGCAGAACTTAGAGCAATGTGAGATTCTGCTTAGCATATGTCCTGTAGTGCCATGTGCAGGTAAAAGGATGATTTAGTAAGAGCTCCTTTTTTCATATTGTTTGTTGTGAAAACATAAATACAAAATCAAATCTTTGCCAAGAGCCATTTAAGCAGATATTTACTCAGCTGAGTGCATGGTTAAACATTTCTTCAGACAAATAACAAAAATAAGTATGCATGTTTCAGAGCCATAAACAATTCAAAACTCATTATCTAATTTGAATTTAGTCTTTCAGGCGAATATTGACCTTTGCACATTTTGGAAAGAGCAAATAGATGCTACCTCTTTTTTGTTTGGTTGGTTTTGGTGGAGTTTTTTTGCTAGACCAAAACAATGTATTTGGGACCTGCTAGTCTTTTTCTAAATTAAAGGAAAGCTGGCAGTATTTTATTCAGTGTTCTCAAGTTCATCAACACTAGCAGCACATTTACTTCCGGAAGTAGATCTTTGTGCCTCCTTAGTCTCGTATTTTGCGGTTGGGGTTTGCATCAGTTAAGTTGCAATACATACATACTGATAACTAACACTGGAAGATATTTAGCAACGTTTGGAGACAGCATTATTGGCAGTTGAGGATTTTTGGAACCTGTATGGTGATAAACCTTAGTACTAGCTGTTTCAGGAACTTCCTGCAATTGAAGCAGTCAGGGAAGAAAATGTGATGCTTGCTTAAGTTGGTAGCATTGAGCTGGGCGTAGCAGACCATGGGTGAAATCTCAGCTAGCACAGAACTATTAGGATGCTCCCCAGGTTCAGACTAAGGGTTGTTGTGAGGGAGAGGGGGCCTTGGATTCTGTTTTCAAAAATGTGTTTTTGCAGTGTTCAACATGAATTGGTAAAGCTTGTTCTTTTTCTGTAGAGCATGTATCCCTGGTTACTTTCTAAAATTCTCTTTACAACTCAGTTTCTTAGGGTTGGGAATCGCGGCATAAACAATACACGGGTCTTGATCTGAACAAAGGGTAGTTGTTTAAAATTTTGTCTTTCTGAAATCTGCTTGCCATGATTGATCCATGTGGTTCAGACAGCTTGCTTTGCAAAAGAACCAGTTTAGCCTCCATTATTAAACAAAACATTTTGATTTATAGTCTTTAATTAATTAAACAAATAGACTCCATATGGACCTTAGTAATATGTTTGCTTCCTGACCAGGGCCATTGATGTGTTTCAGTACGGGTCAGGACTGGGTTTTTTTGGCTTAAACAGTAACTCAGCTTGTCTAGTCAGGCTTTAGTCCGTCCTCTGGCTGTAAAGGCCATTTGGGGCTTTAATTGTGAAAGTAATTTATGTTGAGCTTTTTAGGTTTTAAATAGTTTGTTCCATTATGATCATTTGTAGGTTTCAGGTTGATGGTGAACATCCCATAACTGCTGCTTACAAGGAGTAAAGGGAACTGGTTAAGTACACTTGTTGAGGCATCACTAGATTATGTTGCTATCTTGCATTGCTGAGCTCTGCTTATATTTTGTTATGCTTGCTAAACAATGCTTAAACTTCAGTTTTATAAATGAGCTTTAAGATAAGCCTGTGTAAGTTAGGATAAATGTTGTACTACTTGCTAGGCAGTTGAAGTGAAAGTTAATATGATAATAAAGTAGGTGTCAATTCCCAAGAATTCACTTAATGTGTCTAAATTCCTAGAACACAGTTCAAAGTATTTTTGCAAGCTCCGGTTAGATGCAGTCTGTTTATGAAAAATAGGATGTGCATAAGAGTTTTGCAGGGGAGGAAAACCCCTGTTAGGTTGTTGGAAAAATTTATTTGAAATATGTTAAAACTAATGGCCTGTGGTTTATATTGTGCTTCCTGTCTGACCTTATATAAAGCAGGTATTAAAAGGAATCCAAAAGTGATCACTGTTAAATATTCTCTGTTGACACGTTTGGTCTCTTTTTATTAAATTGGCAGAGAATTGGGGAAAGTTTTCTTAAGACCTTCAGGTTGGTAGACTATCAGCACAAATCTAAATACTTGTATAAATACTTTGGTGCTTGCACTAAAAAGTGTATGCGTAGATAGGATTAAATCAGTATCTCTCTTTTTAAAAGTTGTTTAGTGCAATTCCCATAGGGGAGAAAACCCACCTACAGCTGCAGAGTTCCATATCATATTTCTTTTAATTAAATTGTGAAAGTACTAGAACAGCCCTCTTTTAAGCTTAGATGTTTAAGTTGTCTCAGAAGCACAGTTTAAGCAGATTTTTAGTGCAGTGAGGTATGTAGATGGTAGTATTCCACTCAGCATCTCAAAATTGATTTGGCATCTTTTCGGTTGTTCTGTACAATATTACAAGCATTATTACAATTGACTACTTGGACTATTACAAAATAAATTCTACCATTGCAGCAACCATTACAGCACCTTTCATATATGTGCATGGTGAGAGGGGAGAGAGAAGAGTCTTTGTTCATTGGAAGAAATTAGAAATGTTCCTGTGATAGAACCTTTTTCTTTGGGGGATTGTCAGAGAATCTGTCTCAAATTTAAGCACTGGCAGGAATAATTGTGAAACAAACATTACCAGGATCAAACAGAAGTCCTCTGATCTGTAAAAGAATTTAGGAATAAACCAGCAAAACTACATTATCTATGGCTCTTGACCTGTTGTTTAAAACTGTGTTTGATTTGTGTCACAGTTGACAGTCCTTACTTATAAAAAAAATATTCAGAGAAGATCTGGAAGAACTGGAGTCTGAAACCTGATGACCCTGGGAACTATTCTGAGGTGTATAATAGATAAACACAGTTGACAGTCCTTACTTATAAAAAAAATATTCAGAGAAGATCTGGAAGAACTGGAGTCTGAAACATGATGACTGTACTAGGCAAAACCCTGGGAACTATTCTGAGGTGTATGATAGATAAATACTATAACCACAACAACTTTTCCTCTTACAAAGAGAAGTCAGGTCTTCCAAACGCAGTACATTCTTAGCTGAAGGAAGAAAGCACATGCAGGCAAGGGAGAGGATGAATAAGGATTTGCAAAGGGAGAGGATGAATGAGGATTGATCTCTTGACTTTCTTACAACAGAAGGATTATGGGGCATCAAAGGTAGTAGGTGACGGGTTCAGAGCAAGCAAGAAGAGGGGGGGACCGCTCTGCAGAGATCTTTATTATTGGATGTTACAGTTGCTAAAAGTTTACTTGGCTCAAAGAGGAACCTGGATAAATTTGTAGAAGTGAGGTCCCTGAGGGTGACTAAATACAAGAGAGCCACTTCTGGCCAAGGAGGTCCGAGTTACAAATTTTTGGAAACTAGGGAGATATGTGAGAAATATTTCTGTGTGCTTTCCTTTTTCTGTTGCACTTCTTAAGGCGTTAGTGTTTCTCTGCTGTCAGTCAGGATACTGGGCTAAATAAGCCTTTCGTTTTGTTTGGACATTATCTCGATTAAAGATACATGGATAACAACTTCATAGCACTGTTTTGCTTAGATGTGTGAAGTATCTGGACGCTCATAACAATAAAGGAAAAAGTGTTCTGTGCAAAATATTAACTGATTTGAGGCACAAAGATTTCTGCTAATTTTGTACTGGAGGTGTTTACATCTTATTTCTTGATGTTTCGTGGAGCTGTCATAGCCTGGCTCAACTGCTTTCCTTAAATGCTAGTTTTTCCTTCTGCCTGAGCAGGATTTGAGATCAAACACTCATCTACATGTGTGTCCTAAAATGTATATGCTCAAAGAACACTTGTCATTTGGACAGGATGACTCTTTTGGGCCTTAGCAGCTGTGGGATGAAGACTGGAAAAATATTTATTTGGAGAAAGTTTGCAGTTTGACTGTACTATTTGAATTTATTAAAAATCTAATCTTAAAATACTTTTGTTGCCTTCTTGAATTAAATATCTAACTTTAAAAAACTTGTCTTCATTAAAAAAGTAAAGGGGCAGGAGAGGCAGGGTACATCAGAATAAGTGCATAATGATCATACAGTGTAGTAAGTGGTGTGAGGACTCTGACAGTGCCAGAATAATCTGGCACTGATAATCTGAGATTGAAATGTTACCAGGACCAAGTTATTTTGGTAAAACTTGAGCCTGTTGATGCTTGAAAATCCAGTTAGCTGTACATTTGGAATTATTTAAAGAATCTTCTTATATGTTTGTTCTTTACCCTTTAATTAGCACAGTCAAGCAGGTGGTTTCAGATCATTCTAACTTATGCTCAAAACCAAGATTCTGCAACCTTTCATTGAAAATTATGCTTTTTCCCTGTATTGAATTTGCAGTTTTGGAGAGGTTAGCAAATATGAAAAGCTGTTTTTAAAAACAAGAGCTGTGTTTTAAAAGCATTACAGGTTTCTAATTTGCATAACCTTAAAATGTATGTGGGAGGGTGTTAAATACGTGCTGGAAAATACGTGAAATGAAGGTTCATAGTGTGCCACTGTTTCTGAAAGACAAAGTACATAATTTTTCTCAAGGTAGTTTACAGTTTTAACCTTTTAAGTGCAGTGAAGTTTAAATTGCTGTGGGAGGTCTGCAGGGTCAGGTTCTAGCATTTGTAGTTCACAAGAACCATAATAATAGCACCATCCTGCAGAACAAGGCCATAAATGAAACAAGAATAATTCTTGAATAAAAAAATAGAATGGTATGCAATTGGTAAGACTAAACCATGTTTAATAGGATCATTGTCTGTTTTGTTTACTTGCAGAATCCAACAGCTGTTTGAAGAGATATTAGGCAATAGCAGGCAATTGAAATGGCTGTCTTGTGGGTTTATGCTGCAAATAGTAACTCCCACGTCATTGTCCTCCTTATCAAACCCCATAGCCAACACCATGGAACATCTCAGCTTACTGGACAACCACATCCCTGGTAATACTACTCTTATCACTGCGGTTGAATTGGAGCGCTTTGTGAATCTGCGTTCGCTCGCTTTGGATTTCTGTGATTTCACAGCTGAAATGGCAAGAGTCCTGGCTGACAGCAACCATGTGCCTTTGCATCGACTGTCTCTCCTGGTCCACAGTGTTTCCATAATGCACAAGTCATTGGACAGTATGCCAGAAGATGAGAATTGGAAGGCTCTGACTCGCAACAGCACTAATCTTCGGGTCTATATAATGGCTTTTGATGTCAAGAGTGATGATATGTTAAGGATTCTTAAGCCCAGTATCCCACTAGAGAGGATTCACTTTGACAGCTACATCACATGTGTTTCAGGGGCTGTTGTTGACCTCATATCCAGGCAGTATGACAAATTCCTCACTCATTTTATCCTAATGAATGATGTGATAGATATGTCTGGCTTCCCAGATCTTAGTGACAACCGTAATGAAGATCCACTTGTCTTATTAGCCTGGAGGTGCACCAGACTGTCTCTCCTAGCTGTTCATGGTAGGTAATGCATTGCATGGGGATAGTATGTGACTTTGAAATACTTAAAACACTTCAGCTTTTCTAATCATAATGTGTTTTAGTGGAGTGGTGTTCAAAAGTCAGCTGCATGGTTGCTGTACACAGTGTTGTACCTTATGCTGGTATTTTCATGTTTGAAAATATGAAGGTGTTCATTGTGCATGAGTTCTAAACATACTTGTAGCTTACTAACTTCTATTGAGAAGTCATATAGGATTTTATTAGACTGTTCACAGAAATTAAGATAACTAAGAATTGAGCATTCCAGGAGGCTTATCCTGAAAGCAGCCTGCACTGTACAGGTTCCATGGAGTGGATGTTTATGTGATCATGAACAATGAAAACATTTGCTGTTTTACTGTGAGCGCATATGTTGTGGTAAGATTAGATGATTGTGCTTCCTGTTTGTAAATAACATGGGGTAAGTGCCCCAAGGTTGAGGGGGAGAAGTCTGTTACCAATTTGGTAAGACTCTGTCACAAATAGAAGGCTGAAAAATACAATGTGGAGGAGGTTGCCTTGCTGAGTGCATTGGTTTCACCAGTAATACCAGAGCTAGGCTTATCCTACCCACCTGTTTATAAAGAGTGTGCATTTGTATTCACCTCTGTCATCAGTACAATACTTGCTAGAAGTTACAGTTGTTTGGCAAATTTTAAGGTACCTGAAACTGAAATAATGCAAAATAGTTCTTTTTGTGCTGGAGTTACCTTACCAAGTCCAAGTTTGCCGGTGCATGAAGGAGTTAAGTGATGACTGTTTGTTGTGTTGCATAAGAAGGAATGCCTGTTTCCTGGACTGCTTGGGGGAGGAAAGCTCCAGTCATTCAGCACAAACAGGAGAGACCTTCAGCAGTGAAGGTTGTACATTCAGATTTCCATTGGTTGAAGGCAGAAGGTCCTGCTGTATTTACTAGAAAAAGTTTTCCCCTGTCTTCTACTGAAAAAAATCATAGGGGGAACATGATCAATCCAGCTGTCTCTCCTTTACAGTTTCCAGGTCTCACAGATTTTGGATACTGGCAGGTGACCTTATCACTCTGAACGTGGATTTTATCAGTTTCTTTTAACATTTGGATACAAGTTTCAGGAGCTCTTTTTAAAAGTAAAAAAAAAAAATAAAAAATTGTGTTACCTTAAATTATTGTCCTACTACAGGGAAGTAGTTTAATATTTTATCTAAACTTAAAAAGATGGTAAAATGTCTGAACATGAGCTAGCGTAAATAGCCTTTAGTATCAGCGTGTGTCTATTCAGTAGAAGGTATTAGTCTGTGCAGAGCATAGGGAAGGCAAATCCCTTCTACAGTTCTGTCTGGCAAATGCTTGCTGCTGCATCTTGTTTCTTTGCAGACATGCAGTTTGTACCTGGGGGAGAGAATGGCCAAGTATCACACTTGCTCTGATGTTGGCATTCAGATTCCTTCCCCTTTTCTTCCCTCCTTGCAGCAGAAGCTATCTAAGCTGTTTATAAATGCCTCCTGATCTTTCTTTAAGCTGTGAATATTACTTCTCTGGTACTATAGCATAAGCTTCTTTCTTCTAGAGTAGCAACTGTGAGAAGAACATGCCTAGGAAGAAAGATCTAGAATGCTGTGATGCTTTGGTACAGCATCTTAGCCGCATGCTTGTATTTTCTCAGGTTTACTAGATAATGGTTTCTAATTCCATTTATCATATTCTTCATGATACTATCCAGCTTCCTTCAAGAAAAAAATAGTGGGTTTGTTCAAGGTGCCATAACTTGCTTTTTATGTAAGTGCTCAGGTTTCTTCTATCTCCTGAAGTAGTTTTTCTTTGTTTTCCATTAGTTCTCATTTTTTTGTTTGTTTGTTTTTCCTTCTTTTGCTTTTAGTTTTATGTAAGTGCTCAGGTTTCTTCTATCTCCTGAAGTGGTTATTCTTTGTTTTCCATTAGTTCTCTTTTTTTTTGTTTGTTTGTTTTTCCTTCTTTTGCTTTTAGTTTGCTCTGAAAAAGGCTTTGATTTACATATAGTTTTGGGTGCCACTTGCAGCCAAAGAGACTACCAAGAGAGAAGGGGAAAAACATACCCTAAGGACACTCTTTTCCTTGGGTGCCTCAAGATTCTCTTCTGTCTTCTGTGGGAAGTCATATCTTTCCACAAAGGTAGCATCTTCAGGAGCAGAGGAAAGCTGATTGAAGGGTATTAATACATTCTTGCAGAATGAAGGAAGGGTGGAAGAGTGTGTGGTCATTTGGGATGGGATTGGGTCAGTAGGATAGCCGGAGTTGTATGATATGGCATAGTGAATAAAAAGCACAGCCCACCTATGGAGGCTGAAGCCTTTCTCTCCTTAAGAGAAGGACACTTCATGTGGATTTTCAAGGCTTTACATTGTAAAAGTGTTGTGTTACCTATGAGATTCTCAGTTTTATTCTGCCCATGGGCAAAACTAAAGTTGAAATTTTTGCTAGCAAGGAAAACCCAATTTGTTTTTCAGTGATACTTGTAGTGAAGTGATCATTCCCTGATAGTTCTGAATACAGAGGCTTTTTGGCTGCTGGAAAGTTACTGAGAAACTTCAGGCAAAACTTTTGAAAGGAGAGTTAATTTAAAATCAGATTAAGTTGAGAATAAGGTGGTTCTTCCAGAGCATAAAGGATATGACCATGAAAAGTTATAGCAAAAGCCATAAATCTGAACCACAAGAATGGTACAGGGGACTTAACCACAGTTATTGTTCCCTTTCATTCTTGCACTTTCTGGCAAGGATTTCTTCAGTAAGTTTCTTTACAGTCAAGATAACAGGAACATGTTGTGAGCTCCTTCAGATCCTGATAGGGGAGTGCTAACATACAGGTAGAATTTTCCATTGGGTTTAGTGTCCTGCAGCCTTATTGACAGCTTCATCCTCTGTGGACAGTTGTGCTAGAGTTGAAGTATCAGCAGATGAAAATTCTGAGAATTCATGCATTCATAATGGTTAATGTGCCAGAAATGAGCCATACAGATGTGTGCAGGCTTTGTTGTTGGAAATGTACCTTGAGCAACATATTTACAGGAAACCTTAGGGACAAACAGTAGGAAAAAGTAAAAGAAAACAGAATTTTTAAAAATTCCTTTCTTAATTACTTTGACATCAGTTTTCTTCATTCTTTAATTAGCTGTCTTATTTTGATACATTATCATGTAGAGCATGTTAACTGCATCGTTGAAGACCAGACCACAGTTTGTTTTTATTTCTCAGCAGCTTAACTTTCCCAGTTCAACTACTGTGCAGACTGCAACTTTACTTGGAATCTAAGTGGGCATCTCACCAAGAGGCTTAGCACCTGTGAAAATGATGATGAAGGCAGAAATTAGCCTTTCCTTTTGCAATGGAAGGGCTGACTTGGCAGAGCTCCCAAAATGGGAAGTTCCCAGCTCTGTGGTTTGCATCTGAATAGCAAGGAGCTCAGCATTTGCCTTAGCCAGGGTACAGAAAGCTAACAGGTAAAGGGGGTAGGTGTTTATAAAGAGGGATGCCAGTAGACACTAATGGGAAGAGAGGGAAGCTTTATAATTATGTTTAATCTCAGATAGAATAGCAAGATACGTGTAGGTGGTTTTAGGGTTTTTTGGGGGGTTTTTGTTTTGTTTTTGTTTGTTTTTTTTTTTACACTGGTGTGACCTATTTTCTGCAGAGGCTTCTGTTTTGTGTCTTGGTTCGTTATGTTTTCTACTTTTTTTGTTTTAAGTCTACCTCTAATGCAACAAAAGCAAACTTCAGACTTTTTTTTTCTAGCACAAGCAGTTTTGAAACAGTACTTCTATACATTAGCTTAAAATAATTGATTACTCACTTTTTTCATTCTATTTATTTATGCTATGAAGTAGATCACAAGAGGTTTGACATTGTAGTTATAACTTAACTTGGAGTAAAAAAGTCCACTTTTCTATAAATCATGAAAAAATCAGATCTAGTAAACCTTGATCAAACTACCTGAAATAGTTTTGATACTTCCTTATTGAAAATATAAAAATACGGCTTTACTCCTCACAGCCAAAAAACCAAAAAGCTATAGGGGGATTCTGCCAGATGGAAGGTAACAAAATAGTTGGGAAGGGTGAGATCCTCTGATATTAAGTACTTCAGTAAAAAAATGTCTTGTAGCAAAATGACAGCACCTTTCTTGTTTTTCCCCTAGGTTACACAGTTTGGGCTCATAATCTTATTGCTATTGCTCGTCTTCGTGGCTCTGACCTGAAAGTTCTTGAAGTCACAGAAGAAAGCATCGATTTTGACCAAGGAGAACTGGCTGATCAGGATGTGGATCCAGTACACAATCTCATTGAGCAAGTGTCTCTCGGATTGGGTCGACCTTGGCATGCAGTGATGGACATAGAGCTGCTCAGTGTCTTCACTGAGCCAACTCGTCACTTCTACAGAGAGATGCAAAGCTTCAGTGAAGGCATTTAGCTCCTTAATTACAATTCCTGTGGTTACATATGCAAGTAGGGTCCTATTATGTTTTTTCAGTAGCGTGAATTAACCCCTTTTGTGCTGTGTTTAATCAGTATTAGCTATATAGAATTATATATGTGTATTCTACTTCTTGATCAAAGAACGTAGTTGGGTATTGGTTTAGAAGCTGAAAGTGGCAGTGTTTAGGGTTTTCACGGTTAATGGACTTGTCTACCAAACCTTACAGAGATACAGCCAAAGGCTGTCTGAGGTTGCCGGCTAACTTTTATTGAGTAACTGCATTTTGAATTATTTTACTGTTATATCGGAGTTCTGTGCTCAGGAGCCAACTCTTTTTGATACCCATATCCATAGCCCAGTGGATTTCTGTGCTGTCATTGTGTGCTTAATCTGGTAGCATGCTACTTAATAGGCTTAAAGGAAGACAAGTCTGTCCAGGGCTCTTCATTGTAAGACTCTCACCTTGCTTTATTTCACGTGCAGATTCTGAAGCATGACGTTAACTACCGTTCTCAGCTTTTCTTAGCTGTTAAGCAGTGGTGTGAAACACTAGCTTTCCAGGTACCTGCACTTACTAATTTGCTCCATAAGCTGTAGTCTTTTGGATTCTTTGCAAGCTCTTCCTCGTTTACTCTCATGTTCCGTCATTTTCCTTAGAAGTTAGCTTTGGGCCAAAGTTTAAAAGAAAAACAAGAATGTGCACTCCGATGAGGTAAAAACATAACAGTGAAGACTTCTACAAAGGTATACACCTGCAAACAAACATTAGTCGTGAAATCCCTAGCAACCAAGTCACTGGATTTTCTCTGTCAGCGCCTGTGTCAGCTGCCAAAGAATAGATTAAAAACGAAGAAGTGCCCACATGCTGGCAGGGGCAGGCCAACTTTTGGCCAGCCAGATACTGCTAGATTGTAATATATAAGGTCGAATTTCGACCTGTGGTACACAGCTGTGCTGTGGCTCAGTCAGCAACCTCAGAACTCTTAACAAACATGCACCTGTTTCACTGTGAATAGTGAATGTAAAGGAAGGAAAGGAAACAAACACAAAGCTTGTTCTATCACAGGTATGAGCTGCTATGATGCATGAAGAACATTCCATGAAGTATGTTTTAAAATCTTGTTATATCTGAGAGGCTTTAAAAGCCGATTTAACTGTTTCAGGGCAACCGCGGTACAGACGTGGTCTCTGTGAGACTTCCACCTGACCCCAGTTTTAAGTGGTACGAATGTTGTGCATTTAATGTTTAAAGGACAGTCTGCAATAATAAAGTAAGTGGCCAACGTGGGTGCCCAGCAGTGCTGAGACCTGGCTGCTATATTGTAAGCTTTGGAAAACACAATTTATGCAACAGATGTCCAGATATGATTCTATTTATGGAAAAAGTTTATATGTGTTTTACAAATGGTTTTACCATCTTATATTAAAATGACCTTTTGACAGGTGTGCGCTGTTTTGTCTCCAGTGAGCACATACCATGCGGATTTTATATGTACATCAGTAGAGTGAATCCACTGGCACAGTGTGTGTATATGCCAGATGTGGTGAGATTTTATCTTATAAATGTGATCAGATAAAAAAAACTCCTGACAGAAAATGTAAGGAAACCAGCTGAATGTTTGAATTGATGACTGATGTTGTATGGTTTATGTTAAATGTATATTCTTTTAATCAATGAATAAAGCATTAAAAATATTTTATTGTATCAGCATGAAGATTTTTAGAATTAAAACGCAACATCATTCATAAGCTGTGTATAACTGGTGGCTCCCATTGTGTTTAGGTCAACAAAAGAGTCTAAAATAAGTCGTACAGTAATTTTTTCTGGATTTGGCTGAATTTTGTCAACATTTTGGGGTGGATGGTCAAAGGGGAAGGATGCTTTGCTAAAGATTTGGCTGAATTTTGTCAACATTTTGGGGGTGATGGCCAAAGGGGAAGGATGCTTTGCTAAAAATCAGACTATCAGACCAGTTAGCACAAACAGTATATAATGATATGACTTATTAGACTGATACAGTAAACTGTGGATTGTAGAATATAGAAGACTATTTTTGAGAAATTCCTGCATCGATTGCAATTGCTTAAATCAAAATCTAATGTGCTCAAGAAAAATGTGTAGTACTTCTTTGGTGTCCCACTATTAAATAGATTATGAATACCTGCAATGCTTCAGTTTGACGTTTTATCCGTACTCAAGAGTACATAGCTGTGCATTCTGAATGAAAACTGCAGATGTCTGGTAAGCTGCCGAAGAGCTGCCATGCAGCTGATTGTGCTGTGAGAACTGTCAGAGTGGCTGTTCAGTGTATGCGTGCCAAGCACGGATTGAATTTGAGCTTCTGAACTTCTTTTTATGATAGTCCAAACCGCTACCAGGTGTGAGAATGGCACTACTTGTTGTTTAAGCAGTCTCCTAGATCTAGATTTGGTAAGCAAGAACATTTACCAACAAGAGATGCTGTGGGTAATAAAGATAAGGTAAATACAGTTACAGCTTTTCATATTCTGATAAAGTGAGATTGCAGGACTTGGTCTCAGTGGGGCTCGGCCTCAGGAGGGAGGTTTATGTAGCAGTTAAATCTGATGAGGATTGTTCAAGGTTATCTGGACCTTAAATTTGGTCATAAAGTGATAAAGATTTCTGTCTTTTTCTCTGCAACTTCCTGAAGAAAATGCTGTGTCCTCTAAACAGAGTTGCAGGGTTAATTTTATCTCTACTGTGTTTTTGTGAATAACTGCCTTAGTAAACGCAGTTGGGAAGTAACTTGTTTACCTGTCTGTTATATAAATGTGTTCCTCTTTTTAGTCTAACCTATTTTCTGCTGTTTTTTTTTTTTTTTTAAATTAACTTAGTCTTGAAAGGTAAGATAAGGAGCAAGAGAAAAAGGCCACTGGACTGTGGTAGAGAGATGAGCAGTCCTTTCACTTACTGCAGGTACAGCCACAGTGTTTAAATATGCTGTACCAATGGCTGTCCATTTTTAGTACTCCAGATCTGATTTTTTCTTTTTTTTCCATACAGTCTGAAGTCTAACCACTGCGTATGGCTTGTGTTCCAGGTATGAAGTCAATGTACTTGATGCATACAGACTAATAACATCTTTCTTACAAGTATTGGGAGTCCAGTAAGGCATGAGTGTGTGGTGAAACCCACACCTTGAGCAGTGCTGGAGAAATACACCTGTTTGTTCTATTGTCTTAGAAAGAAATAAAAGTTGGTTTTGTTGGGGTTTTTTTTGTATTTTTAGCAATAATCTGAATTAGTTAGTGATACCAGGATGATGGGATTCAAGCTGAAGCAATTTGAAGTGGTAGAAAACTAAGATGGTCCTAATGTGGAAAGTGCACTTGTGGAGTGGGGCCTTACAAACTATGAAATTACTTTGAGTTTGCATAATCCCAAATAGGATTTACATTTTTTTTTCTCTTTGTTTTTCCTAAACAGCAATGTGAAGTTAGTCTTGCTGCATTTTAGATTCTTTCAGGAGGAACTTGGAACACAAGCCCTCAGTTGTTATAACTGGATTGCTTTTTCTTTTGGGGGGGGAACAGGGACTCCCCTGCATTGCACTTGTGTGACCCCTCTCAGTTAACGTACTTAAGTACATCTGTCGGGTTACTGCACCCTGCTTCCTATTACTTGCTTCTGAGCTTGTTTTTTAAATTGCTTGTCTGCAAATAAAATTTTGAGCTGTTACTGGGGGGGGGGAAGTCTGAAATTATTCCATTCTCTCTGCAGGATGATCTAATCCATGCTTGTCCTGCAGTATCTTAGTCCAGCTAACTTGTTTTGCCTGGAGCTTCCCATATCAGTGTGGGCACAGAGTAGATTGTTTTGTTGGAGGAAGAATTGTTTGTTGCAGTTAAGTTAGTTGCAAGCTAAAAGAAATATTTAATGCACACTGAGAAAGTAGTGTATTTGTTCAGAAAATGTAGTTACATTTATAAGTACCTTGCAATCCTTAAGGTGAAGTGGAAAAAAAAAAAAAAAGGGTTCTTATGGGGGCAGTATTATCAAACTAAGGATGTCTGTGCTATCCCGGGGTTCTGTGTAGTGGGGCAAGTCGATAGCTGGCAGCTCTGGGTCTAAGACTGGTATCAAGGGCAAGGGTAAAACCAAATACTTCCTTTTAGAATCCTGGTGAAGGCTTTCAGGCAAATTTAGAGCCTGCAGAAAGGAAGTAATGGGCTAAAAATGATGGAACAGCTGAACTAAGCTAAATAACAGTTAAAACAATTTAACATAAATGATGCTTTATTCGGTCAAATTTGTTGTTGAAGAGCTAGGCCTTTGTACTTGAGCTAAATGCTTTTGAGGACTAAACTAGAAGTAGAAAGGAGAATAAAGAAAGTGCAGGAATGAGCCATCAAAGAGTTCTGCAGCTGAAGTAAGCCTATGTGGAAATAATGGTGGGAGCAGGAGTACTGAGCTGTGAAAGAAAAAGCTCCCTTGGCAGGCTTCACCTAAGCAATTACCAAAAAAGTGGGCTGCAGATAATTTTTTTTTTTTTTGGTAACTCCTAATTGCAGGGTGTGGTGGCTGCATTTATATTACAGGCTGAAACTGTGTGTTGTGTGTGTGCGTGCAGAGAATGGGGGAATAGCAATTGAACTGCCCACTGCTCCTCTTGCAAGTGGGGGCTTGTCTAAAAACACTTCTTCATCTTAAAGGGTCTCTTACCAACTGACTGTGGTGTGAGTAGTTACATAGGTTTCAGGTTGAAGCTAAACTGCCAGAAGAGCCAAGAGCTTCTAGCAGAGGTCTTTAGCATGTACAATAGCCAGTAAAAATTGAGCCCAGATCCAAGCTGTGCCCTGGCTGCAGGTTGAGCACGTGCTGTGATGGCCATTACCACGAAGGAAGAAGCAAAAAAAACCACATCACCTCACAGGAAGGGGTGCATGAGACAACAACCCAAATGCTTTTATAGGCACAAAATTATTAATACTGCAGTTTGCAACTTCTTTTTTATATTTTTAATTGGTTTTTTTGGTGAAGCCTAGTGATTACTACAAAATGTGCATGGACACAATTTGTCTAAAATTGTTGTTTTTTTTTTTTTAAATGTTTGCCACAGTGGCTTCTTGACCACTTTTGTTGCTTTTTTTGCTAAGTCTATGGGGTATACTTGCTTCTGTGCATCTTCTAGACAAGAAAGAAATTCTGCCCTGCCTTGGAGTTTTATCTGTACTACATGTTAGGATGGGCATGCTTATAGAAATCTCCTGCCCCAGCCTCTGTGGCCCATTTGTTGATAAATGCTGACTGCTCTCCAAAGTCAGTGTTGAAGGAATTGGGAGGTGGGGTATTTTGTCCCACCCTGATTCCCAGCTGTCAATGTTAAAAGCCCAAGACTAAACAACTGAATTCACATGGAGACAGTAAAAAACCTAATATTAGTTTGCTGCACACATACATCTTCAAAGGCAGGAGTCTGGTAGTGCTGAAGCAGCACATAGCTAGGACTCTGTCCTCCTCTGTCATTAAAAAAAACATACACACATTTTCAATAAAACACTACCCTCCACTATGAGTTTTGAAGAGGGAGGGGAGGGTTTCTCTACATTTCCTCTTCTTCCCTCTCACTGTAGTGGTAGGACAACTGCCATTTTGTAAAGGTTTGACAGCTGGAGGATTCCCTACAAGGTCAGTAGCAGAGTATGCAATTCCTCTTCACTTCAATTACATCTATGGTACTATCTTATCAGTGACATCACCTTCATTTCCAGTAGACTTTTATTAACTGTTTCAATTTGTTTTCACATTCTATTCATAAAACAGCAAGCATCACTTTTGGCATGCGGAGATTCCCTGTACAGCTAAACAAGGCCAAAGCAGGTGGACTTTTACAATATAGTTCACATGATTTAAATTTATACACCTCTGAAGAGATTACTCAAGTTAGAAATACTTAATTTAAAATGACTACTGTACAATGGAAATCACTCACAATATTATAGTTATTTACAAAATACTATCCTGAGAATTTTCTATTAAGCTTCAATTTGAGCAAAGTAGTTTATATATATCTAAGTAACAATGGTTACTTAACACAAGGAAAAATGCCATTGAAAGAGTACAGAAAAGGTTCAGCATGTTGCTCAAATGACTGTCAAGGCTCCTGCTGTGGTTCTGATTGGTCTACAGCTGATGGATTTGACTGAGGTGGCTCAGTTATATTTTCAGGGGGTGGCAGTGGTGGTGGCAGAAATCCAGGTCGTTGAGGTGGATAGTGAGGATAAGATCGCATTGGAAATGGGTTTCTTACTGCAAGAGAATCAGAGCAGTCCAGTTAATAGCAATCACAACAGCCAATGCATACCTGCTCCTCCTGCCCCACATATGTTATGGCTCAGCAATGGCCTACCTAAAGAGATGTCACAAAGTAGACCTAGGTTAAGCATTATGCTCCAGAGAGACAGAGACGCCAGAAGCAGGAGGACAAAATGATCACTTTTCTCAGTAGTCACCTGTGACAGGCTCACGGCAGCAGCCAGGCACTGCCTGTGAGAACAGGCTGCTGCCACCAGCACCTTCGGTCCGCTGCAGCAACCCTGGGCTGCCAGACCTTACAGATATTTTAGAAGGTAACTGTTTCGTTCTTCACAAGTTAATCAGAGAACAGCAAGAGGCAGAAGCAGCCCTCCAGTCTGACACATCTTGCTCCACTACTGGAAACTCCAAGGAAAAACAGTCAACAATTAGTTATGTCCCAAATGCATGCTTTGGTGTGGATACTAGTATACCTCAAAGCTAAAGGATAAAACTTTAAGAGTTATATATGATGTAACCTCATAGCAGGAAGAGGATTAAGGTAAGCATGTACTGGCTTTCCTACCCCAAAAAATGACCCTTTAAATGCTGGACAGTGTATGTGTATTTTCCAGACAAAGCTAGTATGTAAAAACATCATCAATATATGCAATTGTGAAGAAGAAAGCATAAAATGCAATTAACCTTCATCAGAAAAGATGCTCCCCGTTAGCTGAATTGAGAAGCAGTACGTGCAAATAAAGACTTCGGTGTTCACCCAGTGTGGTAACTACTACCTGCACTACTACTTGTGTCCATCAACTTGAAGCAAATGCTGGCAAAAGCTACGTACTTGGAGGAGGAAGTGGAGGGCGCGGGAGCCCGAAGTCTCGTACTGGAAAACATTCACGTGGTCCATACATGCCAGCAGGAGGAGGGGGAGGAAAAGGAGGTCCTCGTCTCATGAAAGGTGCTCTGGGATCTGCAGGCATCAACGGAGGTCTGACTGGAGGGAAAGGTGGAGGAGCAAATCCTGAACTGACAGCTTCACTTTCAGATGCCAGCAACTGATTAGGTAGTGAGTTCTGCAACACAATGAAAACAGGGAGGTTAGCTTAGGGAAAGGGATAAGGAGAGGGAACATCTCCAATCCCATCAGGCCTGCCTTGGTAGACTGTCACACTAGCTAACAGCCAGTTCCAACTCTGCTTTAGCTACAGCATAATACTATGCAAGTCCATCTATGTGCACTGACATCAAAATTTATTCACAAGACAGCAAGTGCTGTGATAAAAGTATACATGTAATTTTACAACTTGACTGCACAGTGCAATATAATGTGACCAATGTACTAGAAGCAAATTTTCATAAATATTTTGCAGGAAATTAAAGCTTCTTTAAATCCAGTTTCTGTTTAGCTACTTACACTAAGGTTAGAATGATCTTTCATCCCATTTCCACTTGGTTCTGTCCGCGGGCTATTTTCTGAAGAGGTTTGTCCATCTGTATGTAAAAGTTACACAAGTTATTCAGTGCCAACGTCCTTCTCTCCACCACTGACTTCAGTATTTTTTCTGAAATCAGGATATATAGGCAAGAAAAAAAAATACTGCTGTACCAAGCAACTGTTCTGCAAGCAGAGAGAAAGACAACTGAGGATCACAAAGCTACGCCCAAGTATTTCCTCCAACTTCTGTACAGGGTGCACATGAATTACAAAGTTCCAGCTTTTACCAAAGATTCTTGTATCCAAATAAGGTTTTTCTTCCATTTGAGGTTTTTTTTTTTTTCAGAAGTTACAAGTGCATTTTTCTAGCAATACATCTTAACATTACTGCAGCAGTTCCACTTTTCCCCTCCCTCCTGCTAATACTTTATTTCCTTGGCAGTTAGGACTTACAACTGCCAAGTTGGAGCCTGGATTTCAGTACCATGAGACATGTTGCTGTTCTGAAGTCAGGTGGTGTGCATTGGACAGCTTTTGATTTTTTTAAATTTGTTGGAGTTTTTTTGTTATTTTTACAAATACCCAAATCTAGCGAAATTATATGCCTCTAGAAAGAAGCATTCACATATGCTTAATGACCTGCTAAATGCCGGCAGCAAGGTTATGCAAACCCCTGTTTCCATTAAGTAGGTTTTGAACTGATGAAGAACTGAACGCAGCTCTTTACATTTTTTTAATTGTTGCTTGCCAGCTGCTGAAGAAAAGGGTAAAAATGTATGCAACAAGTGAGTGCAAAGACAGTGCACATCTCCTGTCCTTCAGTTAGCATCCATGTGCTAGAAGAAAGACCTCAGTGGAACTCAAAGCATTAGAAAGCAGAAGTGAAACACAGAGAGGCTTGGGAAAGGGGGCAGGAAGGTGACTGGCTGTACAGGAACAGAATTGTTTTCCAGCAGAGAACAATTCCTTGTAAAATCTGAACCTCCAACCTGAAACAGAATTCAGCGTTCCCAGTTCTCCCATTACGACACCAAGTAACAAAGGTTCTCTCTCCTATTGCCAGAAAATGGGCAAAGATGGTAACTCAACTCGTAATCATGAGAGTCATTGAATACTGGGTGGCAAAGTTTCTGGTTTGAGTTTAATGGCTTCAGCCTAGCCAGTAAATCAGACACATGTGACTTACTAGACATTAAATAAGGATGAAAACTGCTTAATACGTATCAAGGCTTTAAGCTCTTAAACTGTTTCAGTGATAAGGTTTAAGTCACCAAAACTTTTCTTCTGAGCTTCTGGCTGTTGCTAAGTATCACAAGCTAGAATTTATGTAATTGGCCAATTTAAAACAAATGGTGCTTGGGTCAGTGTAGTGTGTGATTAAGCTGGTGACAACTGCATTGTGAACCACAAAAAGCTGCAACTATGGTAAACAGCTTGAAGGAGGACACCTCAGGACCTCTACTTCAGTACGCAAAGCCAGTGCGTATTTGAAAATTTTGCTTTTATTCTTTCAGTCTTATTGACTCTAACTCTTTCTAACTTCATCAAACATGGCATGGAAATGCAAGTAAGGGTTTGTGATATTTTAATAATGCTGCAGTGAGCCTCATGGGAAGGGCCAAAATAGACTCGAGGCCAATCCTGAATGGTTAATATACAGAACAGTGAAGGTGGACAAAAAAAACACCCACCTCATGACTACCATTCACTGAATCCCATCCACCTGACAGAAGAGACTACTATTGTTGATAACAGGGAAAGACTGCAGCAAGGCTAGCAGGTGTTACACAATGAACATCAGGTCTCTGGTAGCTATAAAGTTGTCCTATTATCATGGCTTACTACATATAGTCAACCTACACTGAGATTCTCCATTTTATAGTATCACAGAAGCAATTCCCACCTGTTTTATCAAAAGACTGCACATTATAAGTTCGTAGTTCTGCTGGTCCAGAAAGTCTTCCAGTATTTGGAGGATTAGGGAAAAATCTTTCTTGTCTTCGAGGAGGAAGAACTGGATCAGTGTAAGGCTCACCTAACATTGAAGAAATCACAAAACAGGTCAGTGAAGATTTTTTCCACCCATTCCATATGATTTTAGACCAGCAACATTCTCTGGATATCTTATGCTCTTATAAATATCCAAAGTGATTACTAATCAGGGTGAGCAAACAAATCTCTAAAAATCCCCAACACAGGAATCCCACCAAGTATGTTTCTAAGGAGCTGCAAAAGAGAAAGTTCATTGATTTTTGGTTTAACAAAGAGTAGAATTTTGAAAGTTATGATTGCCTAAGTTATAAACAGTGGGGCCTGTCAACAGGTCAGATCAGGCAAACGAGAAATTGCATCCTGGGTGGACTTCGAGATTTATAATCAGGCTTTCACATGGATATGCAGCAACTACAATATTGTTTGCCACATCTAATAACTCAGGTACTTTAAGCTGTGTACTTTACCTGATTTTTAATTTTTAACTTGCAGTATTTTTGCTTCTTTATTACAGGTATACAGGAAGGCTGTCCCTCCCCCTGCATTGTTTACTTGAAAAATATCAGTAGCATCCTCTTTATCTCTGTCTTCCTTGAGTGATAATTATAATACAGATGTTTACCAGAAGAAGCGAGACTGAAGACTGATTTTGTCGTTGTTAATTATCAAAGAGGCAGTATAAACATGAAAATATGTACCAAACAGGATGACTGTACCATGGTATTCCTGTACTACTGATATAAACGTGTTTTTGAAAAACATAGTATTTTTCAACATTAGATAGCTATACACTAATGTATCATTACAACTTTTTACTTTCTCAGATCTCTTATTAATTATCCAGCGCACAACTTCTTGCACTACAAATCCCAGCAAAATGATAAAACCGAACAGTTGATTGTACACTGCTAGATCCAATATGTATTTAAAAGACAGCATAGAAAAAGTACAAGTGAACTGCACCATTCAAGAAGGGGAAAAAATCTACTGCTAAAAAAACCTTTCCAGTGTAGTTGCACAGGCAGTTCCAAGAAAGTATTTCATATTTTTAAGCAAAAAATACTTAAATATATACACTGCAAGTCAGTAACTCCATTTTTCAATAGATACTGTAGCTAAGCAGATTTTTATACCTGGTGGAGGCAGCATTATCCTGCGTTCTCTGTCCCAGGGAGGAGACAGGGATCCAGTATCAGATGGTGGTCTGTGGGGATCAGTTAATCTATCAGAACTTGGCTCTCCTCTTTCGTTACCAGCTTCATACGTGGCAGTTGGTCCTCTGGATCCTAATTAAAGAAATCAGAGAGATATTTATCCAGGTATTTTAAATCCTCTATTATGGCTTTCTTCATTGAGTCTGAAAATAGTAAAATAAATCATCAAATGCAAACACTGTCAAGATACGAGAGGCGCATGGCTCCACAGGACTCTCCAACTGTTCGCTGATGACCTGTTATGTTTACTAAAAGTGCTTAAAAAGTTTTTTTGGAATTAAAAATTCCTAGTTCAACAAGAGTGCAACCTAGACTACCTGCAATTAAAAACAAAATAATAATTATTTCAGGAGTTTGAGTTCCTTCGAACCAGAGAAACTAGTGCCCTCACGATATATCTTCTTCTCAGTGCTAAAAAAACCTGCTTCTAATCAAACTAAAAACTAGCACACTGAAAGTTAATATTCTCATTGTAATAAAATATCCACATTGCACTCAACACTCTTCTGGTTCTAATTCTTTATTCAAGAAAAAAAAAAAATAAAAAGACCAGGTCAACACATAACCAAGTGCAAGAGAAACTGCAACAATGAATTATTTTAGGTTGCAAGCTTCCTTTAAAATATATTTGGTCTTAAAAATTACAGAAATACTTAACTCTGGTATCATTCTCCAATTCTCTATCCTAAAATTTGAAGCCATTTCTTGTCTTGTGCAAAGTGAAATCAGCACAATAACTGCGCTGCAGCTGGCATTATTTAAACATATCATTTATTTGATCTGCCCAAGTTACATTAGTGCTCCATTGTGAAATGGGCAGCAGTTATGCCTTTGCATAGTCTCTTTCCTTGCTAATACTACATCCTGAAATCCAGTTTTTACTCTTCCTTACCAGTAACAGCTAAGCTATGATTTAAAGATACATCGGATGCTCAGTTTCATTACTTACTATCTATCTCTATACAAATAAATTGTCAACTATGATTTTGCTTTTATGTGGTATACCTACAGTTGAACACTCAATCTCAAGCTTTTCTGACTTAGAAAATGAATCAACTTTCATATGCACGTGGATATGCTTTTTACAAAGAATTAAAGTAAATAAATAGTCCATGCTGGTTGCTTTAGTTGAAATGTTGATTAGTGAAATCCTTAGAGAATGGACATTTAGACATATTTCCCATGAAATAAGTACAGGTTTCAAAGAGTATAACAGGGGTAGTAAATCAAATAGGAGCTTCTTTATTACCTGCAACAGATGCTGAACTCCACTCTAGCATTTATCTACACTATTTCCACCAACATCAACGAAGGAACAGTTTTTCTTCCCTTACAACCAATGACACCACGGCTTGCTTTCACCTACTTCTCAGACTCTGAATTTTACTCCTTATGCACAACCTTCCTGGTCTCTTATCACTGGGGAAGAAACTGTGTCCACATATAATGACTGCCTCAAATTTAAAACAAAGGGAGGAAAACAAGTTACTGAATTATGACCCTCAATAAAACTGTCTCATGTTTTTGACAATGCAGATACTCTCTCCTCTCACTGACTGTAGACCAATGAGAGGGAAGTGTCAGTATTATTTTTTCAGAAAACTAATCGATTCTTGTTTACTTAAAAATCATAAGTTTATTTCAGCAGAACCCCATTTGTCCAAGAAATAAAACAAGACTAAGTCTGGCTTTTCACTTTCTCAATCAGTGCTTGTAAAGTGAATCCACTGACTGATCTCCTAGTAACAACTAAATTTTCCATTGTACTGTTACACATTAGACAGCTTTAGAAGCACATTGAAAACTGGGAAGAGTTTGCCCAATTAGCTGTTTATACTGAATTGGCTGTTTTAATACTTGTCACCAGCAAGAGGAAAAGGTGTGACAGGTTTATAGTAGAGGAGAGAGAAATCCAGAATAGATACATTTTCAAGTTTAAGAATTGTACCTCTTCCTCCTCCTGCACCTGGAAGCATAGGTGAAAGCCTTAAAGGACCCTCCAATAAAGTTGGAGGGGAAAGAAAAGCTCTTGTTTCAGATGAAGGCCGGCCCATTGGTGAGGGTCCATATGGGGAATGCTCTGGAACAGTTAAAACAAGATACTCAAGTTCACAATGTTTAGTTTAGCAAACTGTATAAAGTAACTAATTTCTCAGGTGAAGTTTAAATTGTATAAGTGAAACGAAAACTGTGCTCTTAGTTACCATGTGTATCATATTCCCAGTCTACTATAATCAACACTACAAATGCTCTTAGTTTCAACAAAATACTCAACACGACCTAAAGTCACTTATGACCCTATTATTTTTTTAAATGACTGCTATTTGTACATACGCACAGCCAAGATAGTTTTCAAATAATTACCTATGTGTGGTCTGGGAGACAAGACCACGAACCAAAACAATCAAGCTATTTTACCATTCAATACTGTACCTCTGCCAAATGGTCTAACTGGAACATCAAGAGCATAAGGATCTTTTTCTAAAAGGTCAAGTTTAAATTCTGCTTCAGTTAATCTGCAAATAAACAACAAAAAAGTACTAAATAACCAAGAAGTGCAAAATTTTTACTGAACTGCACTGTTTACTGGTAGGCTTTCTACTTCAAGGGTTAATGAAGCAAGGTATTTTATTCCCTAAATGAAAAGAAAAAAGACAAAGGACGTCACAGAACTCAGAACTTAAGAATTCCTGAAAGTATTTCTCTATGCTGCTGCAATTAAACTGCAATTCAGAAGCTGAAGTAGCATGTTACATGTCACAATTCCTAGCATGACATTACTCTCATGAGCACTCTAAATTACATTCCAAGTACTAGTTAACTTCACACCTAAAGTTTCCTCTCAACCACCACCACCTGATCTGTTAGCTCAGTATTAATTTCTGAGATAACCTGCAAAATCATTAGGTAACCATGGCATCTGGTTGATACATACATTTCTAAAACAAACAAACAAAAAAACAAACCCCCAAAATCTTTGAGTTACAGTACTACATTCTGCATCTTTCCTGAAATATTTCAATACCTCACATAGTTCTTAAGTTCTTACTTTCTCGCATGTTATCATTACAGCAATGCTCAAATGACTCCCTCTCTCCAACAGAACCCTGTGATCTCCCTGCCCTGTTTGGGCCATAATTGATTAACACAGGTCTAGAAAACACCTAATTGCATAAATTCAAAACATACTCACATGCCAAATTGTATTTTCTTAGAATTAGATCAAGAATGCACTTACTTTTGTCTGTTATGTGCATTTTCTTTTTTTATATCGTTGAGGTGTCTTTCAGCTGCTCGGGCTGTCAGCTTTGGGGAGGGACAAAAATCAGATGCTTAGGTATTGCTATTTATTAATTAAATGCTTCATAAAATGTGACAGATCCTAGATGCAAGACTTTTTTCTATCTGAAGTTTCTGGACTGTATTTCCACAAGATATGACTCGTGTATAAAGCATATGAAACAGAGCCTCACATAGGTCACCAAATGACATTAGCAGCTCTACTACCCAAATTTTTGAGGAATGATATGGCTTTCCTGCAGGTTCTTATCTCCCTTATGAGGAAAGGCTGAGGGAGCTGGGTCTCTTTAGTTTGGAAAAGAGGAGACTGAGGGGTGACCTAATTAATGTTTATAAATACGTGAAGGGTGAGTGTCAGGAGGATGGAGCCAGGCTCTTCTCTGTGACATCTAGTGATAGGACAAGGGGCAATGGGTTCAAGCTGGAACATAGGAGGTTCCACTTGAATATGAGGAAAAACTTCTTTACAGTGAGGGTGACAGAGCACTGGAACAGGCTGCCCAGAGAGGTTGTGGAGTCTCCTTCTCTGGAGACATTCAAAGCCCGCCTGGATGCGTTCCTGTGTGATCTGATCTAGGTGTTCCTGCTCCGGCAGGGGGATTGGACTAGATGATCTTTCGAGGTCCCTTCCAATCTCTAACATTCTGTGATTCTGTGATTCTGTGATTCTTAAAACTGCAGAAATGAAATTCTTTGGCTATAGCTGCCACAATATGTACAAGATTTAAAGTCTCAAATTTTAGGTAAGAAAGTTTTATTTTAAAATCACATAGTTAAAAACTCAAAAATTATGACCACAAAGTGCTGCAGCTTTTAACAGGATTTTATCTTACACAGACCATTCTGTGAAGCCAAATAATGTATTAGTCAAGAGATATTTTAAAGTTTCCTGTTTGGAAAAAAAGGTAAAAATGGATTTTGTAGCAACATTCTTAGGAAGCTGTCAATGGAACATGCTGTTCTCACAGGACATAGCGTCTTCTCTTAGTTGATAAAAGACGTCAAGTACATCCAGGGAAAATATTAAAATGGCATTGAAACAAGGCCAAAAGCTTTTATTATTAGCAAAATGTCACACACTTGTTAAATGGTAACATTATTCCAGCAGATTTATTGCTACAGCAAATAATATTGTAATATCATTCTACTGTGCTCATAGGTATCCAGCTTAATTATTCCAACTGTTTTATGATAGAAGTATTTTTAACATGCTTTTGTGTATTTCTGCAAGAAATCTGTATGTTTAAAGGTGATAGATTAGAGTAAATTTTGATTATCTTTTTTTAATAAGAAACAAAAAAGTGATAAAGCAAGCTATTCAAATCACAGCAAAGGAAGACACACGAAATTCAGAAAATTCAGTATTTGGAACTTACCCAATTATCATGAGCTTTTTTCTCATGTGAAGTAATCTGTGAAGGAGAGATTCATTAGATAATTTTTCATCTAAAACAGAAAACTTGAGTATATGCTCTTATTAATAAATTTAATGTGTGTAGATAATTTACATCTAAAACATCTAAACTTTAAATTTTAGTTTTTAATAAAGTTATCTGGCGATCTCTGCTATGACATTGTGTCAGTCAAAATCAGATGGCATTGAGAAGGCAGGGCAGAAAGAGGGCAAAAAACCCACCCAACAAATCCAAGCCAAATACAGTATCACAATCTAGCTGAAAGTGGTACTTCTGCTGCAATAACATCCCTCCTACTTGGCATAGATGGTACACACAAAGCACACACCTGATTCTGGTAAGAACGAATGGTTCTTTCTAGCTCTTCTTCAAGATCTTTTGCTCGCTGTCTGTAACAAAATTAGGATTTACACCATTGTAATAAAATGTGAAGTAAAGTTATTTTAAATACAGTAAACACAACAGTAAACACAAGGTATAATTAAGATTTTTTTTATCCAAAAGACAGTATTGTCACTTAGGTCCATGGGATACATAAAAATTACCGTAGCAGTGGAAATTCTAAGCCCTTGATGAGTGCAAACAGGAATGTAAACAAAAGAACAGAACCAGAAAACACAACATCTACCCAACTTTTCAGTGGTCTATCATGTTTCCAACATAAAAGATATTCCTCCATATATGCCCTAACAGCCAGCCTCACCCAGCTCAGCAAATGTACCAACGTGGCTGGAGCATCATGCTGTCACAGGCTACCCCAGTCAGTCCTCAGGGATAGTCACTTGCACTAAAGTGATTTCAAGACCACAAAAAGGATGATGCCACCTCTGCTGCCTGCTGCCCTGTGCAAAGCTTCTGTAAGTTCTACACAGTCTCAGCAGGTAGGCCAGAGACACATCCATTGTTTAGTTATACTCCATTTGCAATATTAATATTCTCTTTACGATGTCTGCAAAGCTCATGTTCTGAGTAAATCAAGAAGGGTAAATTCTGTCTTCCTGTATGAATACTGAAGAACGTCTACAAGAACTTTGCATTCTGGAAAAAAACCTAATCTAATTAACTCTTTAGGAAGCATTGTTGATCAGTATCATTCAGTTAGAGTCAATACTCCCATAAACAATGAAGGAAGATTCAGAATATACATTACAGATTGAAGAATTGTGCCATAGTTTGAGAAGCCATGGAAACAAACCAGAGGCACACAATTGGTGTAACACAAAACAGAAAAGCAGTTAAAAAACAACTACAGAAAACATTCCCACATCACAGTATTTTAGTAAATAATTGCTAAACAGAAATACTATTTGACAAACTCAGAGATATAGAAACAGAATACTATAACTAGACAACATAAAAATGTTAGGATCTATAGGAAAATGGAACATTGCATTTGTTTCACAGCATTCTCTTAAATTCATATTTTTACTTCTGTTCAGTAAAGGGAACTACAGATCCACTTCTACCATTCCATCCATTAAAGCTAACACGTCAATACAATTTGCATTCTAATGGAAGAAAAGTGGCTAGCGATCTTCCATACCCAAATTTTTTAACAAAGCAAAACTGTTACATACAAACTAGCATGTAACACACACACACAATACAAAGAAACTGGAAGAAAATACATTCAGTTATACTAGTGCTTTTATTAATTCTCTATTGCCTTTTGTCCACTTTCAAACAAGTGATTCAGCAACTAAAATGTGTAATTACCTGTAGCTGTTTAGTTCTTCAGCAGCATGGTTAATTTTTTCATCTACTTTAGAAAGCTTTTCTTCCTTCTGTAGGCGTTCCCTCTCTTCTACTGTCAGCTTCCTTTAAGGAAATTCAAAAACTATGGTTAATTCTGTTTCAAGTCAACAATCTTGTAACTACTGTCAAGAAAAACTCTCCCGATTATTTAGGTGTGATGAATACATGATATTTATCCAGGTAAAGAGTTTTATAGGCAACATATGAAGTAGCATAAATAGCACTAGTTTGTATTCATAATTAGTTTATTCAGTTCATTAACTGTTCTATATGAAACAATTAGACCACCACTATTCCTAAAAGGAATCTGGAAAACAATCCATATTCCCAAAGAATATTTCTATTTGGGGGCACTACAGAAGAGAAAACCCATATTTCAGACCACAGATTATGCACAAGGTAATTCTGCAGAACACACATAGATATTACTGCTGCATACAGCCCTGAATGGATAAACTGGTAATTTTCCTGTAAACAGCAGTCCTTAGTAATCAAACTATCTAAATTATGGATCTTTTGAACATGATTTTGAACTTCTTTTCTACTCAGTCTTCATTTCCCACTTTTCTATTTCACTTGTTTGAACACACCCAGCTTCTTAAAAGACACCCGGTTAATACCAGTAGCCTATCTTATTCTGCTATCTCATCACACCAGCTTCTCCCCACTCCTTTTTGGCTCTTCTAAAATCTTTGATAAGCAGCACGCATTGGTTCAGCTTCAATGTGGTATTTTTAAATATCATCCACAGAGTCTGCTAACAGTCTTCCTTTTTGACTGTCCAGCACAGCTTCTTTTTAATAGGTTCCTTCGCATTTCCACATCAACCCCCACGCCCCGCTTTTTAACATCAGATGTTAGCATAGGTTTTGTTGCACCTACAAAGATGACAAATATCTATACAAATATATATATATTACAGAGCAGATTATTGAAAGTAATACTTTAAAAAGGTCCTGCATATTGCTCAGTATAGGAACAAGACTTGCGCTGCTTCTCTTGCAGCCTTCAAGATTATTTATAGTCCTTGAAGAAATATTTTCTGGCTAGTAAAACTAATTTTACCATCACGCCCTAAAATGATGCCCACTGTTCCCTCCCTGCCCCAGCCCCCCCACACACACTTGTGAAGGTTACTACATGGCCCATCCCATCCCAATCAACTTTATTTCCACTCTTTAACATATTTCTGATTTGAATCAGTAAGTCATAATCCCTACTATTATCCTGACTGTGAGGCAGATAGAACATGAGGGCTGTACTATCTTTCTTGGTGAGAAAAGCCTGATTCACAGTGGTTCTATGTCGCTTACCAATAATAGTTAGCTTGCCTATGTTTTAACTCTAAGCTTAGTTTTACATATAGCATCCCTCTGCTCACATTACTAGCTCTCTTTACCAAATAAAATATACTGCACAGTTAAAGCAGCTACTAATTATCTTTCTTTCAGCAACTTTGATAGCTGTATTACATCATATCTTAATTAAAAAAAAAATAAAATCGAGCTTTCCAACTTTAGTCACCTTATTTCATTTAAAATTTATTAAGTCTTGTTTTATCTTTGTTTCTGTGCCTTCCTGCGGAAAAGACCTAAAATAATACAACACTACTTTCACGGAAACAACTTCTATAAAATTACTGTGAGCACAAGTGTACATGAAGATGTACCATAACACATTTTTCACAATTCAGAAAACTCTGGAAAGCAGTATTCAAATTTTCAATAATTTTCAGCTCCCCAAATCAGAGTTATATTCAAATCAATCAGTAAGCATTGAATATAAAAAGAGGAACCAGCACCTGTGTAGTTTCATTTCATTTTCTTGATAAAGCTCAGTCATTACTTTAAGTTTCTGCTGAAGCTTTTGAACTTCACTTTCAAAGTGTTCATTTTCAGACTGCAAGGAAGCTTGCTGACTTTGAAGGTTTTCTATGCGTTCTGTCAAATTTAGAGATAATTACATTGGGACAATGCACGACTTACAAAATTAAAGTATTTGCAACATTTTAGTACACAAAAAGTCTGTAACACCCTTTGATCCTATTTTAATAATATAAGCAATATTATGTTAATATATTTCAATATATTGGAATTATAGAAATTGAAAAGCAGTATTGCTCCTTTGGATGGGAAGTCAGCAACTATACTCTCTACCTGCCACAAAGTGCAGCTCTGAATGCGTATCTTGCCTTTGCTCTAAATTGTACAGCTTCTTTGAAAACAACACAGTTTTGTAATTCACCATATACATTTTCATTTAGGGCTCTTATTATTGTAATTATTCTACTAAAGTAGTAAAATCAGTACATCATACACTTGCAGATTTACCCACACGAAGTCTTGCTGAGTCACCTGAAGAGATAACTCAGATTTGTCAAACTACTTTATCTTTCCAAATTAAAATCAGCCATGTTTCTTTTCCTATTTACTACTCCTATGCCCCTCTTCAAGAAAGCTTCAAGTAAGTTTGAATATCCTTATGGGACAGAGTTACAATCAATTTGGAAAACACACTAGCACAAAGAGGCAGTTTAAAGGACTGTCAAAAACTGCAAAACACAGTGTTACAGGGCATTTCATCACCCAAATAACAAAGCACAGTACATTCAAATGTGATGGCTACTCCACTGGCTGTCATCGATAAAAGCAATAGCTAATTACAGGCTTTAATTTGAATTAAGTGGCAGTGTTTTCATTTCATAAGGTTTAATTCAGTAGGTCCTACACAACAAAGTTAAACAGAGCAAGATGTTTTTAGGTTCAATTCTCTAAATGCAGTATTTTGGATTTTAGGAAGTATTGAGCTTGCACCCATTACAAACTAATTACAATTAAGCTACCATTTTTAACAGATGGTTTTAAAATTTAACTTAAGACTCCAGTTTCATATCCAGAAACTATGTAAAGGTATTGTATATTTATTAAAATCACTTTGCCCATGTATTTTAAGATTCTATAACTTAAAATTTGCAAACGGTGCTTTAGCAGCTTCGATTGTTTTACCTCTAAAATCAAATACTTAAAATAGCTAGGCAACTTAAACTCAAGCAGGCATTTTTAAAATCAAGTGGAGCTGTTAATGTAAACTTAACTCAGTCTTTACTGCAAGTAATACTTACAGCCTGTAATACCATTTTACACAAGCAGCATCTTATTAAGGGCAAAACATTTAATTACCTGTAAGTTCTCCTTTAGCTTTATTTTCATCAGAGAGTTTTGAATACATTTGATCTCTTTCTGTTTCCAGGGTCTTTAAGCAAGCATTTAACTACAATAAAAATTTTTTAAAAAGAACATTTTAAAATTACCAGAAACTGTTTGCATGCACAAAGTATCAAATTAAACATTAAAAGACTATGAACTCAGTGATATTGATACCTATATGGAATTAAACGGACCATTAAAATTGTGTATATCCCCTCTAGTTTCCCCCCCTTGCATCTGCAAGTTCGTTAAAATCACATACCTTTGCAGCATAGATCAATTTCTTTACAGTTCGTTTTTGCTGATCATCTGATTGACAGAACAGAATAATAGGTCACACATGAAGCACAAAAAGGTCTGTGGCAGAGCTTACTATTATTGTTTCTATAAAAAAAGCCATCCCCAACATACCATGATAGGCATAGCATACTTGGAGGAAAAAGAAAAAAACCAGGAGGGCAGGGAATACGCCTATGCCTACTGGTTTGTTTGCCAATCAATCAGATCCAGAATGCTCATGTTAAAAGTGATGTGCTGAATACACATGGTAAGATTTACTGGGATGTGCCCTGTGGTATAATCAGCACCAGCACAAAAAGAAGCTGCAGCAAGAAAAAACAGAAAGAAAGGCTCTTCTGCACTTCTCTTTTGAGGGGACCCACATCTACACCCATCTGATTCCAGTGCTACCAGACTGCTTGCAACAAATAACACCTGTGTAAGGCCAAGGAAGCAGAAATTAGGCTCTAAGGACCCACAGTCCTACTGTTGGGAGGAGCTTCAAGAAGAAATGAAATCAAAGCAATGTTTCCACCTAAAAATGTTTTGAGAATCACTGCTTAATACTAACATAAGTAATTCTACAAGAAACTGAGCACTGAGTCTTTACATTGCTCTATGATAATATGTATGCTTTAGCTATATCCACACACTGCTAAATAGTAGCATAGGTTGTTATTCCAGCATCAGTTGACTGTCCAACATAAATGATATTGGGTGAGTTTTGAAAATCTGACTTCTACAAAGCTAATCTTTCAACTTTCTTGGAAGTTTGTTGGTTCTGTATTTCTAAAACATCTATTAAATTAATATTTAAGATGGGAAGCCATACAAATCATACCTAAGTGCTCTCCATTCTCTGTTTCACCTTTTATATCCGTGTCCCAGTGGTTATCTTCAGCATCATCATCTTCTCTTATTGCTGAACTCCAGTCTTTCATCTTCAGTAAGTACTGTGTCAGTGACTAAGAAAAAGCCCACACGAAACACAAACAGCAAAATAAATACATGCAATAAAAATGTAGTTAACATTACAATTACTTTTCCAGGATTTCTTCCTTTACTTCGTTCCTTCAGTAGATTACGCGAGCCCCATATACAGGACTCTAGATGTCTCATATTACTTTTTCTGTTAAAACACATACCTGCAGGTCAACAGGCGTGCCCTTGTGAAGACTTTTCAGATAGCCAAATACGCACGCTTTTAACAGGGCTTGTGTATGTAAGGTACACGCATGTCAGAAAATACTCCCAAGTCCCATGCTCCCACTTCAAAAAAATGCAAATACTCTATCAGAACTAAAACAGTTTTTCCTCATTAAACCTGCTGGCTTCCCAGGCTATCAGACTGCTCCATTGTGCTGCTAAGCAACCTTTTTTGCTCATCAGGAAACCAGACATTAGAGGATGGAGACAGCAAACAAAAACCCAAAACAGATTAATGCATATTAAGACAAGGAGAGGTTGTTAGACTTTCTTGGAACTCAACGATTAACATCAGTCAGAATAATTTGATTCAATGCTAGCTGTCATAATTTACCTTGACTTGACTCTCTTTATTTTTCAATACTTCTTCTATATCTGCTTTAGACGATTCAAACATCTTAGTTTGTTCATTTAGTTCACTAAATCGTTCACCCCAACCTTCAGCTTCTTGTAAAAGCTAAAAAGGGAAATACCAGATTAGCACGATTGCCTATTATGACTGAGAATCAAGGACAAACATGTTGTACTTGAGCGTGTTACGTATATTATCTATACATAAGCAGAATTTTAACCTCTCACCCATTAGTAAGAATTAACAGAGATACACTACAAGACAGTTAAACCTCAAGAGCTGAAAAATAAGACATCTATATTACTGTCCAGTTACCTCAGCTGCAATAGCTCTCCACTGTCATTAGTTGTCAGGATACTTTTAAACATTCATAAGAACAGTTCAGTTAATATTCCATTGTTTAAAAACCCTGATGTTATAATAACAATGGATATAAAATAGTGACAATTTGTGTAACAGCTACAAACACTGGGGAATGGATGGAGAGAACACTCATTCCCCAATATGCACACACACTTCTGGAATTGCACCTGTCTCTTTTCAACCTAGAAGAGGTTGGTGAGGTAAGGAAAACTAGGAAGCTTTTCAGGCAGCTATTTTAATTCACGTGACTTGCAAAACTGCATTATTTCTCCTACTGTCCTCCATATCTCTTGAAGTAATTTTAAAATTTTATTTTGAAAAAACTTCCTTGTTAATGAAAGTCACACCAACTGCATGTAATCAACACCTACTAGTACGCATCTTTGTAATTAACTATGGTTAACTAAAAAGATTCCAAGGCTACATTTTACAGACATCCCCTAGTAAAATCTCATTTCACAAAAATACTTCACAGCAGTAAAAGCATTAGTACACTTAAGCACCAGTTCATTAAAAATAACCACTGCAACCCATTAACTAATTAAACCGTGCTTTCATACACAGTGAGAATGAAATTGAACCGATGCAAATTTCTGTTAAGACAAAACATGCAGTACAACAACATGGGCTACAGTACAAAAATATCTGTCTTAGAGTCTGTCAAAAGAATATTCCTTAAAGTTGCACAACAGGCAACCAATTTAAAAAGCAGTGAATGCACAGAAAGGAATAACTAGGTTGAGCAACAAGAATGTAACAGCCAGTTATACTAAAAATAAAACCAGAAAATGGTAGTTAAACAGGGGAACTGCCATGCAAATAGACAGCAAGCCTGAATGTTACTTATCAAAGATAAACTAGAAAGTATAAAACAAAAGGTATATGACTAGAATTGGATGAACCCCACTTGGCACACAACTGCACCTTTCAAGCAGTAAAAGCCATGTATGAATTTGCAGCATCATGCAAACTACGTATTACAGATTTTAAACAAATACTCTTCATGCTAATACTGCTCAGAAGACATACACAGGCAACTACTTTTATCATTAAATGTCATCCTTAAAGAAAAGCTAAACTTTAAGAGATTCTTTCTTCATGAAGCCAAAGAGAAAACAAATTGACAGAACTTTATATACCTGTAAATTACAGTAAAGAGAAATAGCAAGGATTTGCAATAAGCTAAAGCAATATATATTTCCAATGTTCCTGCAAAAAAACCAAAGCACAGAAGTTTGGAGTTGATTAACAGTTCCCTTGTTCAAACTAAAAGGCCCAATCCTCTCTCTGACACATCATAAATCTGAGCACATCTGTTACAGTGTTTAAGCTATGATGTGCCAGAAGATTATGACCCATTAGTGCGAATGGACAGAGGAAGAAAGTACTCTAGTTTCTGTGAACAAATAACACCTTTGTTACCTTTTGAGAAAAAGTGAAATTCCATCTTAAAAAAAAAAAAAAGAAAAATAAAAAAGGGATATGGGTATTCTAATATAGCAAACTAACTCACATGCTTACAACAACCTTATAAAAGGGAAAACAAACAAGCAAATTAGATACTTTCTCTTTTTCCTTATCAGGTTCCATCAACTCTTAGCAGGTTATTTATCTACTAAAAAGCACAGCAAAATACAATATACACAAATGCTCTCAAATTAACAAAAACTGCAACAAAGCTCAGTTAACAACAAAGTGTAGTAATTAATCCTAAATAATGTGGTTAAGGAACAACTATACCCAGGTTATTTTACCTGAAAGGAATGCAAAAAGCCTTATTTTTATCTATGAACCTGGCAAGTTAATTACATCCTGGAAGTTGTCTTTACTTTTTTTTTCCTGGTTTTGCTTGATATAAAATGATTGCGTATAAAATGTAGACTAATTGTCAACACTTAATATTATCTTACTATGTACTATTTTTTATTAAAAGGAAAGAAAGATATTATTTTCACATGCACACAACTAACTGTATTATTTCTGTTTGAACCCAAGAAATTAACAGAGAAAAAAACCCCTCTCTATTAAAACTTTGTGTATTGCTTCTCAAAATTTAATACACAAGTACACTGTCACATTTGAAGTAAAGCACCAAGACCAGGCCCTTCCTCTTCACAGAAACAAAAAAGGATGTATAGATGATACAAAAAACTCTTGAAATAAAATAATTCTCAAGCAACTTCATCTCACAGTAGTAGCACCCAAATCTACTGTTTCTCCACTCACAGCATCTAATAACATTGTGCTCCCTCTTTTTGTACTCACAAACATCTACTCCTTCTAAAATTAACAGAAATACATGAAGTTTTACTGATAACAGACTTGGGCAGAACTCAAATATTTCTCCTGCAGAAAATTTTCTACTTCTAGTAACCTTTTTTTTTTCCAGAATCAGTAAGTCTGATATGCACAATATTTTGAATAAAGCATTTCCCAGCTTCTTTAAGACTGCTAAAAACAAACAAGCTGGTATTTCTGCTCCCTGTCCCCTTCTCCCCCCCGGATGTCTGTATCAGGTTACAGTTTGGACAACAAGAAGAACATCAGTCAGTCAGGACAATAGGCACATACCCATTAAAAAGAAACAAAACAAACAAACAAAAAACCAAGTCCCAAAACCCAAAAAATTCCATGGAACACTTAATATGCTTTTGTCAGAAAAAAAAAATAGTTTAATTGTAAAAGTAGTCATTGCACAGGACAGCTATTGCATATGCTGAACATTTTAAAATAATCCGCATTCTTTGGGATCTGGCTACAGCACTGAGGAAACCAAACAGCTAAAATTTGGGAAGTAACAGTCTTCTTTCCCTTCATATTACTTACCTGACTTTCCATTAATTCATCCATAGTGATACTACAGAAAGTTTTTTACCTGCCTTTTGCATACTCTGCAATTTATTATTTCTTTTGTTTTCTGGATCAGGTATAACGATTATCTCTCTGCCTCTGTGGAGGATCCTAGCTGCTCAAATCTTTCTGCTTTCCTCTAGGTCTCAGCAAAATTCTTATTAGTCCTGCATTACTGCATGTTCTCTTTCTCACTGAATGCAGGTTTCCCCCCAACTCTAATTATTACATTTATTTTAAAACAGGACTGTTTCAGACAAAGTTATTCCAACATAAAATCATTGTAGAGCCATGTCTTCTTCCTCATTTCATTTACTAGAACATGCAAGGGGTATTCACAAAGACGTCAAGTATGAGCTCCTTAGAGAAATCATATTTACCTAGTATCATAAGAAAATATAGTATTTCTAAGGATAACTAGGAAGAACCCACCTGTTTCTCACTTTCCTGGAGATGGCAGTTTTCATCTACTGCATCTTGAATGGATGTCTTGAGTCTCTCTGTATTAATCTGATATACTTTTAGGGTGGACTTGGCCTAAGTCAAATAAAGAAGTGTGTTGTTTGAACAGTATAGGTGAAGATATAAGTGGGACTATGATGGTATTATTTGACTTGATTCTCAAGTTTCCTAGCTGTACTATATATGTATTCTCATATCTTCCCTGCAATTTCAGTAGTTTTTTGCCCATTGTAGTTTTGCAACACTGTATACCATTGTTGAGTAAGAAGGCACAGAAAAGACGATAACTGTACTTCCCAATAAACGCCAATCACTATATGAATTTCAAAGTTGCTAAATCAAGTCACCCAAAAGTGCTAAGCCTTAAAAAGGCTTCTGGTTTACACAGCATATTATTTCTGCACCTTTAATAGAAAAAAAACCAAAAAACAACAGTAACTACATCAAGAACACAGAAATTGCAAAGATTTGAAAACAGAAACTATGAAGATTGGACATACCTCAGCAATTTGTGACTGGATAGATTTTGCTTCATTCTCTAAAGACTCCACTCTCTGCTGAATTTCAGCCACCTGAAAATTATTAGTTGTCATATAGCTTCTTCCACAGATCTGACTGAAAAGGTCTAGGTAATTAATAAAGGTATTTTAATTTTCAAACTGAGAAGGTTCTATTGCCAAATCAGTAAAAACAGCTTTTCTTAAGTATTTTCCTAGTATGCTACAGGGAGTACGAGGGGAGACTAAGTGGGATATGTAGCTTTTCTTTCAGAAAACCCAAAGAGAATAGAGTTCATCTCCTCCCTAGAGAATTTTTTGTGGGATTTTTTTTTTTTAATGAATAGCAATGAAGACAGGATTCTATTTATTCTTACCAAGTTATCATTTTCTGATTGCTTAGATTTTTCTTCTTCCAGTTGTTTTTCTAGATTCTCTATTTCTTGGTTAAGTTCCAAGTTCGACTCGTTCAGTTTTTCATGCATTTCCTAAATCAAGTTGTTTTAACAGTCAACATAAAACATTTGACATTAATTACATATGAAGATAACAGGTATGTTTGGTATATGACAGCAAACTAGGTTTAACAAATTTCACCATATCAAGGATAAATCTCAAAGTACTCTAGACTCTTGCATGTTAATATAACCTGTAACAATTAGTTCTATAGGATCTGAGATGCAGAATGAAATAAATCTATTTGATTTTCATTACATAAATTTTATAGAGACCATTAGGTATTTGATTCTCTTTTTCTGAACTGATTTACAAATGTATTCTTAGTTTGGGGGATATAAACAATGTAGTGGTAACTTTTGCTTACAATTGTGCTCCAGTAGCTTATAAAATATGTTTGAATTATATTAGATGTAAGAAAAAATACTTTGTGCGCTAGTCTCTCTCCCTCCTAGACACAGGAACAATTTATTTTTTAAAAAATTAAACATTGTCTAATATCAATAATTTTTAATGCACTTGTTGCAAAAACTTCTGTTCAATTTAAATGCCTTGCTTCTATGTAATTTTCAGTAACCCAGGACTAAAAAAAAACCACAATCCTCTTAATTAAAACAATTAAGGTTTTTGGTTTTGTATTTTTGTTGGGTTTTCTTGTTTGGTTGGGTTTTTTGTTTGTTTTTATATGGGCAGTATTTTTCCAAAACACTGCCTTAAATGGAAATTGTTATTTCTACAATTTATCTTTTTACCTCAAAAAAAGATGCATCTGTTGATTCTTTCATAACGTGGTCATCCTTCAGAGACAATTCTAAAACTTCAAACTGAAAAAGGAATACTTTATGTCAGAATATATATAAACAATTGCTTAAATAATAGCACTTATTTCTGATGCTCTGATGTGAAACATAGCCACCGCCTAAATATTCACAAATGCACCTTGCTGGAAATCAGGAAAGCCTTAGCCCTAGCAGACCATCCCAGTGGCATACAGCAAAAACATTTTACAGTTGCTTCCAGTAAAACATATTGTATTAAGAGTTAAAGGCAGAACTTGCTAACAGCTTGACTGTACTTAGAGGCACTGACAGGAAAAAGCATTTACAGAATCACTTTAAAAGCTTTAAACATCTTACTTTTAAGTAAGTTTAATACCTTAAATCCAGAAATGGGCTCAGTTTATCAAGTGACACATACGAAAGCAATAATGAGGACTATTACCTCTTTTTTGCAAAGGCTGAGTTTTTCAAGAATTTGGCATTTATCTTCAACTAGTTCAGCAATTTTATTAGCAAGCTGTTTTTCCCTTCCTAAAAAAAGAAAGACAGTTAAATGTTGCAACAGACAAATAACTGAGTAAAAAAAAGTCATGCTCCAAAGAAAAGGTATGAAAAATAAGCTTACCTACATAAAGTCGACTTCTAACCTGAAATAAAAAGAATACTGAAAATGTATGATCAATTACTCTTGCATGGTATCTGAAAACTAATCTTTTAAACTGTGGTTCCATTATAATTTTAACTATGGAACTCAGAAGTATAAATACAGGCTGCTGTTAAAAAGGGGTAATTGCATCCTCTGCTCTTACCCCCTCCATAATGGTGTTTGACCTGTCCTTCTCCCACTCCAATTAAACAGAGAGAAGAGGGGAAAAAATCCTTATTCACAATAGCAGAAAACCCTTACCTCAAAAATATAATCTGATTTGTGCCTTAAAGGGTTTCAGTACTACACTTCTCAAAGCCATCAGCTTAGAGTTCACAAACGGCACACAACAAAATTGGTTCAGTGTTCCAAGCCACAGAATCAAGGTCACAGGCCAAAGAGTTTTAAAACACCTCCCTTGATAGGAATCCATCTGGATTGCTTTTGGTTATAATTACCTTTAAAGACCTTAGCTGATCTGGCTATAGCCAGGGTAGTCACAGAGATATCAATACACACAGAAATACACAAACCTTAGGGAAGTCCTCTATATCCCATAAAAATAATTTAAGGGCTGACTTTGAAATTCTGATCTAGAAATTAAAAAGGGAAGGAAAAAGGAAGCTTTACCAGAGCGAGTTTCATTGCATTTACTCCAATTACAACAGTCACTCAGTATATGTCCAAACACTTACTGTCTTGAAAAAACAGGCTACTTCTCAATTTCTCTTTTAGAGGGATTCTAAGTTCAATCACAATAGATTTAAAACTCTGAAGCATTATATATCTTGAACAGAATAACAATTTAAGTTCAAAGCATTTATGGACTCTACACATCTGCATGTAACTTGAATACTTACTGATTGATAACTTCTATACAGGAACAAAAAAACTGTAAAGGCTCCAACAGTGCCAGCACAAATTACTATTTCCCACGGGAAACCATACAGATCAGGACCAGGTCTCATTTCTTCAGGCAGTGAAGCCACAGCCTGAAAAATAAAGTAAAAAGCTTCAACTCTTCGAAAACAGACTAAAATTTTCAACAGAAATAGACATTACATGTTGACTTAGCTCATTTCTAAGACTTGTACATCTATATTTTTTTCCAAAAGGCTGGGAAAATGGTTAACAGAAGCCTTTGATTTTTAAATTATACATTTAACAAATGAAGAAAAAAAATACAAAAGGAGAAAGATTCCAATAAGATATAATCATGATTAGATAAAGTTCTGAAAACTTCTCCTTCTGAACCTACCAATTACAGTAAAATCTTCTTCAAGTTGTCTACATGTTTCACTGTTAGAAAAGTCAATACTAATAAATATTCTATGATTTACTGGTAGAACATTTGTTTGGTATAACAGCCTGCTAAACCAACTTCGTGCTAAAATAACCTCCTGAACACAGACAACAATTTAACGCATTTCAAACACTTAAATGCACTCACATTTTTCTGTAAATGGGTATCACTGTTCTCTCACAGATGTAACTCGCCTCACGCAGCTCACGCCTGCTACGCGTGACCCGTGTGTAAGAGCGTGTCACTGTGCAGCAAACCCCCCCCCCCCGTTTCCGTAACAAAATGCACCAACCCCCCCCCCCCCTTTTCCGTAACAAAACGGCCACACTCCCCCCGCGGCAAGCCACGAGGGGTGTGCGCGTGGCCGTGTCAGACCCGGGGGGCTCGTTTCACCGCTTGGGCGTTTTGAGACCCCCGCTGCTCCC